CGATCCACTGGAAGAAAGACAGTCTCTTCAATAAATGGTGCTGGGAAAATTGGTCATCCACATGCAGAAGAATGAAACTAGACCACTCTCTTGCACCATACACAAAGATAAACTCAAAATGGATGAAAGATTTAAATGTGAGACAAGACTCCATCAAAATCCTAGAGGAGAACACAGGCAACACCCTTTTTGAACTTGGCCACAGTAACTTCTTGCAAGATACATCCACGAAAACAAAAGAAACAAAAGCAAAAATGAACTATTGGGACTTCATCAAGATAAGAAGCTTTTGCACAGCAAAGGATACAGTCAACAAAACTCAAAGACAACCTACAGAATGGGAGAAGATATTTGCAAATAACATATCAGATAAAGGGCTAGTTTCCAAAATCTATAAAGAACTTATTAAACTCAACACCAAAGAAACAAACAATCCAATCATGAAATGGGCAAAAGACATGAAGAGAAATCTCACAGAGGAAGACATAGACATGGCCAACATGCACATGAGAAAATGCTCTGCATCACTTGCCATCAGGGAAATACAAATCAAAACCACAATGAGATACCACCTCACACCAGTGAGAATGGGGAAAATTAATAAGGCAGGAAACAACAAATGTTGGAGAGGATGTGGAGAAAAGGGAACCCTCTTACACTGTTGGTGGGAATGTGAACTGGTGCAGCCACTCTGGAAAACTGTGTGGAGGTTCCTCAAAGAATTAAAAATAGACCTGCCCTACGACCCAGCAATTGCACTGTTAGGGATTTACCCCGAAGATTCAGATGCAATGAAACGCCGGGACACCTGCACCCCGATGTTTCTAGCAGCCATGTCCACAATAGCCAAACTGTGGAAGGAGCCTCGGTGCCCATCGAAAGATGAATGGATAAAGAAGATGTGGTTTATGTATACAATGGAATATTACTCAGCCATTAGAAACAACAAATACCCACCATTTGCTTCAACGTGGATGGAACTGGAGGGTATTATGCTGAGTGAAGTAAGTCAATCAGAGAAGGACAAACAGTGTATGTTCTCACTCATTTGGGGAATATGAATAATAGTGAAGGGGAATATAAGGGAAGGGAGAAGAAATGTGTGGGAGATATCAGAAAGGGACACAGAACATAAAAACTTCTAACTCTGGGAAATGAACTAGGGGTGGTGGAAGGGGAGGAGGGCGGGGGTGGGGGTGAATGGGTGACGGGCACGGAAGGGGACACTTGACGGGATGAGCACTGGGTGTTATTCTGTATGTTGGTAAATTGAACACCAATAAAAATTAATTTATAAAAAAAAAGGAGAATTATAGACCAATATCCATGATGAACACAGATTCAAAAATTCTAAACAAGATACTAGCCAATAGGATCCAACAGTACATTAAGAAGATTATTCACCATGACCAAGTGGGATTTATCCCTGGGATGCAAGGCTGGTTCAACACTCGTAAAGCAATCAACGTGATAGACCGTATCGGCAAGAGAAAACATAAAAACGATATGATCCTCTCAATAGATGCAGAGAAAGCATTTGACAAAATACAGCATCCATTCCTGATCAAAACTCTTCAGAATGTAGGGATAGAGGCAACATTCCTCAGCATCTTAAAAGCCATCTACGAAAAGCCCACAGCAAATATCATTCTCAATGGGGAAACACTGAGAGCCTTTCCCCTAAGATCAGGAATGCAACAGGGATGTCCACTCTCACCACTGCTATTCAACATGGTACTAGAAGTCCTAGGCTCAGCATTCAGGAAACAAGAAGAAAAGGCATTGAAGTTGGCAAATAAGTCAAACTCTCCCTCTTTGCAGATGACATGATAGTGTACATAGAAAACCCAAAAGACTCCACCCCAAGATTGCTAGAACTCATACAGCAATTCGGCAGTGTGGCAGGATACAAAACCAATGCACAGAAACCAGTGGCATTTCTCTACACTAACAATGAGACTGAAGAAAGAGAAATTAAGGAGTCAATCCTATTTACAATTGCACCCAAAAGCATAAGATACCTAGGAATAAACCTAGCCAGAGGTAAAGGATCAATACCCTAAAAACTACAGAACACTTCTAAAAGAAATGGAGGAAGACACAAAGAGATGGAAAGATATTGCATGCTCATGGATTGGCAGAATTAATATTGTGAAAATGTCAATGCTACCCAGGGCAATTTACACATTTAATTAAATCCTTATCAAAATACCATGGACTTTCTTCAGAAAGTTGAAACAAATCATCGTAAGATTTGTGTGGATCAGAAAAGACCCCGAATAGCCAGGAGGAATATTGAAAAAGAAAACCAGAACCAGGGTTCCCTGGGTGGCGCAGCGGTTTGGCGCCTGCCTTTGGCCCGGGGCGCGATCCTGGCGACCCGGGATCGAGTCCCACGTCGGGCTCCCGATGCATGGAGCCTGCTTCTCCCTCTGCCTGTGTCTCTGCCTCTCTCTCTCTCGCTGTGACTATCATAATAAATAAATAAATAAATAAATAAATAAATAAATAAATAAATAAAATTAAAAGAAAAAAAAAAGAAAGAAAACCAGAACCAGGGGCATCACAATGCCAGATTTCAGGTTGTACTACAAAGCTGTGATCATCAAGACAGTGTGGTACTGGCACAAAAACAGAACATAGATCAAATAGAACAGAATAGAGAATCCAGAAATGGGCCCTCAACTCTATGGTCAACTAATATTTGACAAAGCAGGAAAGACTATCCACTGGAAAAAGGACAGTCTCTTCAATAAATGGTGCTGGGAAAATTGGACAGCCATGTGCAGAAGAATGAAACTAGACCATTGTCTTACACCAAAGATAAATTCAGAATGGATGAAAGATCTAAATGTGAGACCAGAATCCATCACATCCTAGAGGAGAACACAGGCAATACACTTTTTGAACTTGGCCACAGCAACTTCTTGCAAGATACATCTATGAAGGCAAGGGAAACAAAAGCAAAAATGAACTATTGGACTTCATCAAGATAACAACCTTCTGCACAGCAAAAAGTCAACAAAACTAAAAGACAACCTACAGAATGTGAGAAGATATTTGCAAATGACAAATCAGAGAAAGTGCTAGTAACCAAGACCTATAAAGAACTCACGAAATTCAGCAGCAAAGAAACACTCCAATCATGAAATGGGCAAAAGACATGAACAGAAATTTCACAGAGGAAGACATAGACACGGCCAACAAGCACATGATAAAATGCTCCACATCACTGGCCATCAGGGAAATACAAATCTAAACCACGATGAGATACCACCTCACACCAGTGAGAATGGTGGAAATTAACAAGACAGGAAACAACAAAGGTTGGAGAGGATGTGGAGAAAGGGGAGCCCTCTTTCAGTGTTGGTGGGAATGTGAACTGGTGCAGCCACTCTGGAAAACTGTGTGGAGGTTCCTCAAAGAGTTAAAAATAGATCTGCCCTACAACCCAGCAATTGCACTACTGTGGATTTACCGCAAAGATACAGATGCAGTGAAACGCCGGAACACCTGCACCCAATGTTTATAGCAGCAATGTCCACAATAGCCAAACTGTGGAAAGAGCCTCAGTGTCCATCGACAGATGAATGGATAAAGAAGACGTGGTCTATGTATACAATGGAGTATTACTCAGCCATTAGAAATGACGAATACCCACCATTTGCTTCAATGTGGATGGAACTGGAGGGTATTATGCTGAGTGAAATAAGTCAATCGGAGAAGGACCTACATTATATGGTCTCATTCATTTGGGGAATATAAAAAATAGTGAAAGGGACTGAAGGAGAAAGGAGAGAAAATGAGTGGGAAATATCAGGGAGGGAGACAGAACATGAGAGACTCCTAACTCTGGGAAATGAACAAGAGGTAGTGGGAGGGGTGGTGGAAGGGGGGTTGGGGTACTGGGTGATGGGCACTGAGGGGGACACTTGATGGGATGAGCACTGGGTGTTATGCTATATGTTGGCAAATTGAACTCCAATAAAAAATATACGAAAGAAAGAAAGAAGAAAGCCAGCAAGCCAGGCATCAATTAGGACAATGACAGCCAGATGCTAGCTAATGCTGAAATTTGGATTGCTTTTATTGCTATTTTACATATAAGAAAACTGAGGTTGTTTGACAAAGTTAGTCAAACTATGATATCAAAATATTACATATATTTTAATTTTTAAAAGATTTTTAAAAATTTATTTGACAGAGAGAGAGAGAGAACAATCAGGGGATGCTGCAGAGGGAGAGGGAGAAGCAGACTCCAGATGAGAAGGGATACAGATGCCAGTTCTCCATCACATGAGGATTAGATTATAAATAACAGGAGATGAGGCTTTTTGTAAAGAGGAAGTCCCTACTCCTCATCTGACCCAACCTCAGCCTTTTCTGCTGAGCCACCCAGGGATCCCCTGAATAAAATGTTTTTGTTTTTGTTTTTGTTTTTTTAAAAAAGGTAGTTTTATTACTTTCCACCAGGACCTTGACCTGAGGGCCTCTGGTAGAATGTGTTTGCCCAAACGGTGTCTGGCTAATAAATTCCCTCCTAACAGATTGGATTGATAAGTATCTTAAGTTGACCTTCTCAGAATAAACTCAGGTTGCTGGAGGAAACACAGGCCCTCCCTAGCAAAGGGGGTGCTAACTCTCTCACACACTGTTCCTTCTCCTAGTACATGTGGGGCTTCCCCCTCATTTCCCAGGTTAGTGGCTATAATTGGAACCAGCTGTCTCTGCTTAGTCTCTCTGAGGACGGGGACTTTACGGAATATTCCCAAGCAGCTGTCAAAGCTCCCTTTGATTTGGACAGATTCCCTGTCTTCCCTGGCCTGCCTGACACGGACTGCCTAATTCCACTTTGGTGGAAAAACAAATGAACACAAACGTGCATCTGCTCATCTGTTGGAGCTGACAGGCTTTAGGACCCAGAATGTTGTTTATCTGCCTCTCGGCAGCACCCTGCCTCTTCTGCTTCCCCACCTCCTCTTCCTGTTTCTGTACAAACTTTAGTGTGGCCTGTAGACACTGCTCACTCCAGATTTCCCCACCATTTCTCCCGGTGGTACAAATGGACAGTGGGAAACAAACTGATTGACTTCTACAGGGAATCCAGGTAGAGTATAATTTACTATTTAAACTAATTTCAGCTTTTGATTTAATTAAAATAAGAAGGTCTTTATCTTTTTAAAAGAATTTATTTATCTATTCATGAGCGAGAAAGAGAGAGAGAGGCAGAGGCAGACTCCCCTCTGAGCAGGGAGCCTGAAGCGGAACTCCATCCCAGGACCTTGGGATCTGACCCCGGAATCATGACCTGAGTGGAAAGCAGATACTCAACCAGTGAGCCACCCAGGTGCCCCTAAACATGTCTTTTTTTAAAAAAAAAATTATTATTATTTTTTAAACATGTCTTAAACATGTCTTAAAGGCATCAACATTAGATGTGAAACTTGTGTTCTACCAAGATTTACTGAGGGTCCAATAAGCTCATGATCCCTGTGGCAGTTGGTGAGCAAACAGATAACTTACAATGATGGTGAATTATCTGTCTCAAAGTTTTCATGGGTAATTGCTAAGACAGCTTTCAAAGTCTTTGGTGACCTGAAACTTAGAAGTTTTGCTCAGATGATAAATTGGGATTGAAATCATTGGAAGGTCTAGGTTTTCTCCAAACAGGATAAAGTACTAGAGCATTGATTACCAGATGTAGGCTTGTGCTTTTGACTTCTTACTGCAAAAATACCCACAAAACAAAAACAACAACAACAACAACAAAAAATAACCCAAATATTTGAATCTGCTTGTAAACATACCTTGTGCTTAAGGGACTCATAAATTTTCCCTCTAAAGAGTTTTGGTGTAACCGTTCATATTTGGTTGCTACTTAGTTTGCACTAAAAGTTAAAATTCTGCTAAGTGTAATGAAGACTTTCAGAAAGAAGGGAAACAACTCTGCATGTAGAAAAGTAGGAGATACATAAGCAAGATGTAAGGAATGGGAAAATATTTTTGTTAAAGGTAAAAGAAGGTGATTTTGTCCTAAATAAGACAGGTTGTTTGAAAAGAAATGACTTGGACCGAACCTGAATGTGAAGGAAAGTTGTGGAAGGTTTATGAAGGGAAATCTTAGGGAAAATATTTGATATGTGGTCAGGATGGACTAAGATTAAAATGAATGGATTCTAAAGGTACACCGGTAGAAGATTGAAATTATGCTTTCTCTCTGTTCAAAAGACAAAGTTTTCTTAAATCGTTGGTCTTGTCTTTATAAAATGTAAACAAAAAAAAAAAAGGTGCTTTTTCTTTATCCAGGAAAACCAGTTTCTATTTTTTGTCTTTTCAGGTCTTTGATTACTTAGTTAAAGCTTCTCAGTATTAAAAGAGCTAAGTTTTGCTAACAATTGTCTGACCCTACATATTTGCCTTCGGAATCTTAAGGTCATTTTGGTCAAATAAATAATTTCGTTTTGGCTTTTTATAATGAACTATAATCCTACTTATGCCCGTTCTTTATAACTTTCTGACGTTTTTGTTTTAAGATTTTATATATTTATTCATGAGACACACAAAGAGAGGCAGAGACATAGACAGAGGGATATGCAGGCACCCCACAGGGAGCCCTATGTCATAGTTGGTTCTCAACCACTGATCACCCAGGTGCCCCATCTGAGGCTTTTAACAAACTTCTCCAAGATTTATTTATTTATTTATTTTTGTTTTTGTTTTTTGTTTTTGTTTTTTTATTTTTTTTTATTTATTTATGATAGTCACACACAGAGAGAGAGAGGCAGAGACACAGGCAGAGGGAGAAGCAGGCTCCATGCACCGGGAGCATGACATGGGATTCGATCCCGGGTCTCCATGATCGCGCCCTGGGCCAAAGGCATTCGCTAAACCGCTGCGCCACCCAGGGATCCCTTTTTTTGTTTTGTTTTGTTTTGTTTTTAATTTTTTTTTAAATTTATGATAGTCACACACACACACAGAGAGGCAGAGACACAGGCAGAGGGAGAAGCAGGCTCCATGCACCGGGAGCCCGACGCAAACTTCTCCAAGATTTAAATGATAAACAAAGCAGTTTTGACCAATTAGGTTTATTTATTTGGTTATGCTAAGGTATTTGGGAAGCACCAACAAGCAAATAATGATAAGCCCTAGGTTATATTGTCTGGATAAATGTAATAACTATTGTTGAGGACAGCCTGGCTGGCTCAGCGGTTTAGCACCACCTTCAGCCCAAGGTCTGATCCTGGAGTCCCGGAATCCAACCCCCGTCGGGCTCCCTTCATAGAGCCTGCTTCTCCCTCTGCCTGTGTCTATGCCCCCCCCCTCTCATGAATAAGAAAAAAAAACTATTTTTGAGATGATATGCCATTCCTAAAATTTTAATTTGTTTTGGTAATAAGGTCATCACTTAATATTCTAAGAATTAAAATGTTATATGTCTCAAGAATAACTAAATTTCCTTGCCAGCTATATTGTCACCTCCCATCAGCTCTTTAGCTGTGCCCATTTTTAAATCTTTTCATCATTCATAGTTGTCCTTATTCTCTTATAAAATGAGTTTTGTCTTCAAGAAGATTCATAAAAAGGACTTTTAGGACAAATACAGATGTTTGATATCTTTAATTTTAAACTAAAATGGGTGAGAATTTCCAAAACCAACTAAACGCTGCATTTAAACTGAACAAGAATTAGTAACATGGGACCAAATGAACAAAGAAAATGATTACAGTTTTGGAACTCTTGTTTAAAACATTGCTGATCCTCTGATGTTTGGTCTTTCAGATAAAAAAAAAAAACCTCTCTCTGAAGAAAGTATGACTTTTACAGAAATGTAATAGTGTAACATTTGTAAACCAACGGAAGCATTTAACTTTTCTCTCTACCTGAACCCTCTGAAATTCAAAAGGTCTCAGTAAGTATTCTTTCTTCCATGGCATTATAGTCATTTGCATAATTTCAATAAGAATCTATTCTCCTCCTAACAGGACACCATTGGAAACATTGGTTATTTTACCAAGGCTTTGACTAGAATGCCATATTTGAGAGAGACTTGGATAGATTCAGAACTGACCAAATAGCTCTAAGGACCTGAGGTTGACTTTATGAAATGTGGAGCCCTAAAGCACCTTGAAACTGTTGGCCTGATACCTCACATATAAAGCTCCCAGCAGGGACGCCTGGGTGGCTCTGCAGTTGAGTGTCTGCCATCTGCTCAGGGGTGTGATCCTGGGGTGCGGGGATTGAGTCTCACTCTGGGCTCCCTGCATGGAGCCTGCTTCTCTCTCTGCCTGTGTCTCTGCCTCTCTCTCTCTCTCTCTCTCTCTCTCTCTATCATAAATAAATAAAAATTTTAAAAAATGGAGTTCCCAGCAGCCTCCACCATGTGAGTAAAGAATGTCACTTCCTGGCAGGTGCAGGAAACTCAGGATACTTTGGGGACCTGGTGAAGAGGAACCTACCCACATCTACAGGTATTGCAGGCATGTCTGATGGCAAGGACTTGGCTTGGCTTCCGGCCGTGAGTGGCTACTACAAGTTCCACCTAGAGATTCCTTATAAAAACTTTCAGCAAAGCAGATTTTAAAAGAGCTATATGGCCAGTTGCTATTCTTGCTGAGCTCATGTAAATAATTGAAACAAGTAGGTTAAAATTGGACTTGCTTCGCAAACAAATCAGTCTCAAGTTGGCTATCTCTAAAAAGTTGGGTTATTATAGGAGAAATTATGTTTCAGTAACCCACCTTTGTGGATGTTAAATCTTAGTTCAGATTGTCTTTAAAAGTGGTTTGCCTAAGCTAGACAACTTGAGGTAAACTTCAGAGTAATTGACACAATAGCTTTGGCTACCTCTTTGGTGGGACTCTGGGTTACCCTAAGACTACAACACAAAATAAGCAAAACAGTATGTTTACTCAGCAGGACTCTAAATGATACTTCCCAGGCACTAGCTGTTCTTAACCAAAAATTAAGGGAAGGCAGAGAGGGACTTTCTGAAACCACCTTTGATTAGCCACTATTGATTATCTACAATTGCTACCTCCTTATTTAGGATTCAAGGAGTTTCCTCACGTGTGTTATTTTAACATTGCAGATAACTCTCACAAGTGTCCCAATTGATAGGGGACATTCTGGAACAATTAAATAAGATCAAGATAGCCACTGATCCATTTAATGGAATTGGTAATTGAGGATCTTATCTAAGAGATGTGATCACAGTCTGGAGCTTGACATTCATTTTATGCTTGTTCTTTTTCATGTACTGATGCAAGTATCATCTGCTGCCCATCATGACCTCCTGCTCCCTCCCCACCCCGGAGCCATACCTCACCCCCCTGCCCCCCCCAATTGATTCTAACTACCATACAACATGCTACCTCATTTCAATGGGCAGCAGCCAGAGCGGTCCTGTCTCATACCCTAATGGCAGTTAAGATTACTAAACCAGAGGGAGGAATGAGTAAGGAAAGGGTAGAGGGTAGTACAGTCTGGGAGAGATAGGGGGCCTCTGACTAGGCTCTGAAACTATACCTGGCAGGCAGAAGCCCTAAGCCAGAGTGAACAATAGTTAAGGGAATGGAGCAGACCACCTGACCCTGGAAGGATAGGGAGTAGGTTTCTTTGGCGGTTACATTATAATCATAAATGACAGTTACATTGTAAATGACCACACCTCAAGAAGTAAGTCTCTATGAGCATTATCAGTAGCCCTTGCTCAATACGAGGAAAGCCAGAAGCTTCCTGTCAAGTTTTCAATAAAAGACTGACCCTAAAAATCCTCAGTGGCAAGCCATTTGGGACCACTCTCACTCTAGAGAGCATTTTCTTTCTTTTCTGCTTTCACTTTCACTTAATAAACGTCCACTTGACTTCACCCTTTTGTGTCCACAAGATTCATTCTTGGGCTCCTTGAGATAAGACCTCTGCAATTCTGCATTTTTTTCTATTGTAATGAAGCACGCCGTTATAAGATGATGAACTTAATCAATACGTGTTGTGTATGTTCTGACATGCTCCCCGGGCCTGCCGCTCCCCATCTCTCTCCCTCTCCTCGGGCCTCCCTAGTCCTTGAGACACAGCAATGTTGAAATTGGGCTAATTAATACCCCAACAACGGCCTCTCAATATTCAAGCAAAAGAAGAGTCAAAAGTCTTATCAGTTACAATGGAAGGCTACAAGTGATGATGCTTAATGGGGAAGGCAAGTTGAAAACTGACATAGGCCAAAAACCAAACTTCTTGTGCAAGTTAGCCAAGTTATGACTGCAATGGAAAGTTCTCGAAGGAAAGGAAAAGTGCTACTCCAATGAACACACAGATGACAAGAAAGCAAAGCAAACTTATTGCTGATGTGGAGAAAATTTAATGGTCTGGAAGGAGGAGCAACCCAGCCACAACATTCCCTGGAGCCAAAGCCTCACCCAGAGCAAGGTCCTGACTCTCCTTATTCTCTGAAGGCAGAGAGAGGTGTGGACACTACAGAGGACACATTCGAACCTCACAGAAGTTGGTTTGTGAGGTTTAAGACACAAAGCCATCTCCATACCTTATAAATTGCAAGGCGTTGTGGCTAAGTGCAACTGTTCTTCTTTCCCATTTGGTATCTTTTTTTCTCCAGGAGTTTGTCCCACTGTGTTGCTGCAAATTCCTTTGTGGATTCCAAAGGCCTCCCAGAGCTGTTTCTGTTTATGGGTAGCTGTGTAATTGTTGATTTTCATTAGTGGGATGGGGGCTGGGGTCTCCTCTACCGCCATCTTGGTGATCTCACTTCTCTGATCTAGGAGCTATCTCTAGTTCTAGGAGCTATTCTCTATCTTTTGTATCTGCACATAGAGGGTTAGACATGAAATAAAGCAGCATTTAAGGTTTATAATCTTTCTTGCTTTCTCTCCAAAGTGCCAGCATTACTGGAAACAATTCTACCGATGTATTTCTTTTGAACTGGACAAGAACAATTTTGTATATCCCGGACAGATATAACACTAACTTGTATCTTCAGGTTTTTCCAACTCATTTGAATACAATTTCCTTCTTTTTCTGTTCTCAGTATTAATAGAGGTGTAATGGAGAGACAAACACACTAGCTGTCAACATGGAAAGAGATACATTAAAGAAAGAGATGCACAGATGCACAAGATGCCATCTGACACGGTGAGAGTATATCTATTAAGCCTTTGAGGGCTCTTGATGGTTTTGGTTCTTCTGTATCTCATTATTGTTCCATGAAATACTGAGTACTATGGCCTGCTTTCTTTCTTTCTTTCTTTCTTTCTTTCTTTCTTTCTTTCTTTCTTTCTTTTTCTTTCTTTCTTTTTTAAAGATTTTATTTATTTATTCATGAGAGACACGAAGAGAGAGGCAGAGACATAAGCAGAGGGAGAAGCAGGCTCCCTGCAGGGAGCCCTCTTTTTTTTTTTTTTAGTGAAAAGTCTCAGCTTACATTTTTTTAAAAAATATTTTATTTATGAGAGAGAGAGAGATATAGCAGGAGCCAGGGTGAAGGGCAGAGGGAGAATGAGAAGCAGACACCATGATGAGCAGGGAACCCAGTGAGGGGCTGGATCTCAGGACTTTGAGATCACAACCTGAGCTGAAGGCAGATGCTTAACTGAGTACCCAGGCACTCCGCTGCTCACAATTTTATTTATTCACTCTTCTCATCATACTTGAAGAGGGAAACCTGCCTAAAGGCACCAAGATGTATTACTTAGACTTCTTGTCTCCATTGTCAGGTAATAAAATCTTGCCTCTGACCACAATACCTTCAGACCTGAGCACAAGCGACTATGTGGGTGTTCCTCCAACTCTTTCCCGAATGCCATGGCCATGCTTTTGACCATCTGATGGCATCAGTCAAACTCACTAAGCTGTATCCATGAGTGCTTCAGCTGCTCCTCATCAGCTGCTTTCCAGAGGGTCATGTCTTATCTGTGACCAATTAATGCACATTTTTGCAGAGTCATAGAACTTGCAGTGATAAATCAGTTGGACCAAAGATTCAGCTACTATGACATATGTAAAATCCCCAAATGCTAGGGAATTTGGAGGGTCACTGAAGTGAGTTATTTTCTTTGGGAGCCTAATGTTTTCTAGCTTGGGTACTAAGTAATATTACCCTTCTATAATTAATCATCACAAGGGTTTGTGTCATATCCTTATTTAAAAGTTAGAAAACGGATATTTACCTCAGAGAGTGAAGCAACAATTTTGACATGAGTGGAAGTTCTAAGAAATGGCAGTGCCAACCTGTGGATTCTTGTCTCTTTGGTCTCCGGAGTCAGGACAGACTCACCCTAAATAGATATTGCTTTTGAGGAAGTATAATTCATGCAGTGTCGTGCAACTTTATAAAAGTTTCCTCCTTTTTTAGGGCCTCTGAAGGATAGCAGTAGAGTAAGGAATTTTCTACAACCCCCATGTTACTGGTACACAATATTGTTATACAAGTTATATGCGAGTCTATAGTGAGTCTTCCCAGGTATTACATATAAATTGATGAACATGAAGGGTTAAGAATCAAATGTTGCATGACTCCTGAGGTGAGATCACTGTCTGCTGAGTGGAGAAGGAGAACAGTTAATACAGTGAAATAAGTGGATCCCAGGGTGGATATCAGAGATTCCATCTCTGAAGACCGTCCCACCATCAAGTTCCTCACACAGAATCCAATGACAACTCCCTTGTGTTTTCCCAGGCCGGGTGAGTGTACCTGTGATGCAAGCACAGTGGACCAGCCCTCAGAGAGCACCAAGCTGTCAAATGAAAGCCTGAAGTCCCCGCCCTTTTCTCAGGACAAAAGGTATGATGACATTAATATGTAAGGGATACTATATTTGGGAGTGGGGAGGGGGAGAAGATTTTGTACTTGTCCTTCTATCTCATAGAGATTCATGAAAAGCAAAGACATTTATATTATTTGCTTAAGCGCCCACACATTCTTTCTTTTTTGTCACTATAATTTTTTATTTGAGATAGTTTAAGACTCATGGGAGGTAGCAACAAATGTACAAAAGGAGCAAAAATGAACACTCAACCCAGATTCTCCAAATGATAATACCCTTTATAAAAATAGTCATTGTCAAAACCAGGAAGTTGACATTGACCCAGTACTGTTAACTCGGATTACAAACTTTGTTTCAAGGCAATATTTGACAGCCTGGAAAATGTTGCTGACAAGCACAAGAAATCTGTCCTGCTTTATCTATCCACCCCTTCTCAATGCATTGTTTCCACATAGGAGACCATGCGTAGTAGTACTCCATGAACCAGTTTATTTGTTTGAACCAATGCCACATACTCCAGTGCCAGTCTCTGTTCAATTGGACTGTAGCAGATGATTCAGGTCAGGTCTATCAAGAGAAAGCTTGCCATGATAGGCATATTTCATTTCCAGGGTGTCTAATATGGAAACCATTGGCTCTTTGTGGTGTTTGGCCTCTTGAAATATGGCTAGTTCAAGTGAGGAGCTGATTTTCTACTTTACTTACTTGTAATTTAAGTTTAAATAGGCACACGTGGCTAGTGGCTATCATATTAGACAGTGTAAGTCTTGGCCCAAGGACACTCCCTGCTCCTAACCCCATCTTGATCCCAGACAGCCAAAGGAGACCAGAGCCAAGCTCTCCAATATGAAGAAGAAATCACCTAGTATAGGGGTTTCCTGTTCCATACCTGGATGAGGATCTCCTGTGGAAGAAAATAAGCCTGATATCCATCGTCTCCTTCCCCCCTAGTATTCTCACATGTCCGTCACCGTGAGGAAGCAGGAGGTGGAAGAGGAGCATTAGTACTGCGTGGATTCTTACAGCACATACATAATCTCACTGCTGTCCTAGAATTTCAATCGATCACAATAGGGTCCCATTCTTTGGGCACCAATGATAGGTGAAGGCTGAATATAAGCTAGGAATCTTCTCTTCTTCCTAAGTACTCAATAAGGTCACTTAGGTCCACATCCTAATACGAAACAAAACCTTCCAGGAAATACTAGGTGTTGAGATACAACTGATTCTGCTTCCTGGACATGGAGAGAGCAACGCTGAGTGGGACACAGAGATAGAGTTAAATCCATTGTAATGAAGGGGGAGATGGAGTCAAGGGCTTCAGAGAAGATTCTCCTAAAGACAAAGCATGGGGTCTAGGGCTTTTAACATAAAGTCATGTGGAGAGACTGTCCTGCCTCCAGACCTCCATGCTGTATTCATAACACAACTTTTGTTTTGTTTTCCAGACTGTTAGAAAGAATACAATCAATCAGCTTTGGTGAGTGGACATATCCGGCAGTGCTTTCGACAGGAAGAGTTTTAGTGGACCTATGTCTGGGCCACACTGGTTTGCTACGTTGGTTACGTAAGGACGGGTCTTCCAAGTAAGAGGAATGATTACTTGGGGAAAGGTGATGGTAGTATTGGATTCTGTTCCTGGATATCACAGGGGCACATGAGAATCAGGGAAATTGGGGTAATTTACATAGGAATCAGGGGGAGAATAAATGAGCTTATCCAATCTTACCAACAAATTCAGAAATTTCTGAATGAGGCAGGTACCTCTTCTTTCAGGAAGGTGTCTTTTTTTTTTAAGATTTTATTTATTCATGAGAGAGAAAGAGAGAGAGAGAGAGAGGCAGACACACAAGCAGAGGGAGGAACAGACTCCATGTAGGGAGCGCAACATGGGACTCAGACCCAGGCCTCCTGGATCATGCCCTGGGTCAAAGGCAGCGCTGAACCGCTGAGCCATGCGGGCTGCTTTTTTTTTTTTTCCAGGAAGGTGTCTTGACAAGCTATACACCAACAGGCAATAACTGATGCAAAGATCACTGTGTCATTGGTTGAGCTGGGAACCAATGCAAATAACCAACTAGGTGCTCTTGGAAACTGGCTGCTGATGAGGCTGAAGGATGGAATGAGGTCCCTGACATGGTGTGCTGGAGAGTGTTCAACACCAGCCTCGCCAGGGGAGAGGGGAGAGCCTTTACTTACAGTATTTGCCAATTTCCATGGGGTGACTACTTCCATTATGGTGTATTTCAAAGTTCAAACATGATGTCCATTAATACAGAGTTGGAAATAGCTGTGCAGTAGCCTGTTATTACAGAGATTTTCACTACACAGATAACATAATTGTAGATAACTTCAAGAGGGCAGAGGTATCGCTGGCTCAGTCAGGGAAGCATGCAACTTTTGATCTTGGCACCCTGAGTTCAAGCCCTGGCTGAGTGTAGAGATTAAAAAGAAAATATATATATACTTAAAAAAAAGCACCGAGTGTAGTATGATGTGGTAAAATGATTACAAAGGAATGTTTCAGCATTTATTACCTTTGTCAGTGATATCGTCTATTTATTTATTTATTTAAAAGATTTTATTTATTTATTCATGAGAGACACAGAGAGAGAGGCAGAGACATAGACAGAGAGAGAAGCAGCTTCCATGCAGGAAGCCTAATGTAGGACTCGATCCTGGGACCCCAGGATCACGCCCTGAGCCAAAGGCAGAGGCTCAACAACTGAGCCACCCGGGTGTCCCAATATAGTCCATTTAAATGAAAATTGTATATGATTTAATTTTTACTAACAGCCATGTTTAACAACCTACCCACAAAATTCCTGGAAAATTTAACATTCAGATACCATGACCTGGGATGAATTGACTCCCACTCACCAGTGACTTCCTCCTAAGTTCCACCCTCAGTCACCCCTGGACCCCAATGTGCACAAGCACCACAAGAAAACAGAAGGCTATGTATTTGCCCTCAGCTTGGCATGGGCCTAACATAATCCATGGCTGATTTTGTAGCCTCAGACAGCAGCAAGACTCCGGAGGGCAGGTCAAGGTTCTCTCACATGGCTTGCCCAAAACCCTTTGAGAAAAGAGCCACAGATTCTTTCTTTGAACTCCACTTCTCCAAATGTGTATTCTTTTTAGCCTTTGTCTATGTATCAATTTCTCTGTGAAAATTCCTCTCATGTCAAGTGAATAGACATATCAAGGAATATAAGGAATCCAGGGATCAAGGATTACATACGTACAACAAGAAATCAAGAGAATCTCAGCAAACGTAAATGAAACTAGACATTTCATGATGCAATGGCAGCAATCATGCAATAACTACTGTACCCACAGAAATCAGTGCTTTTGTTCCTCTTTCATCACCCCCCTTCTGTGCATTGGGGGATTTTTAAAGCTTCCAAGGTACAGTCAGTTTGGTCACCACTACTCTGGGGGCATGTATTGCACCCTTGAGTCAATTGCTAATTCAGTACTTTTATTCCAACAGTCATCAGACACCAAGGAGTAGGTGAGTGAGTGAGTGAGTGAGTGAGTGAGTGAGTGAGTTATTTATTTATTTATTTATTTATTTATTTATTTATTTATCTATCCAAATGACCCCAAATGTTTATTTGACTAAATTCTATTTCATACATAAGCATGACAGCCTCCTCTATTAGACTCAGCAGTTAAGAAAAAAACAAAACAAAACAAAACCAAAAAACCAAGCAGCCTCATCCAGAAAAGTGCAAATGCCAAGGGTGAGGGTCATCTACAGTGTTACTGCAAGATAAATACACATTTTTTTAAAGCCCGCTCTCCTTCTGGCCATATCAACTTTCAATTCCAACCACTAAATATAGACAAGTTTTCCAAAAGTCATTTCTTATCTTCTCTAAGATTTTAAAGCCATCATCATCCACCTCTGTTCGATTTTCCTGAATGACTTTAAGTAGGTCATCTGTAGAGTCTCCCTGAATGATGATTTCATCTTCTTATGTTACTCAGCACCACAGGAAAATTTTTTATCTGAAAAATTCTGTTTCTGTTTAACAAAATGTTTTTAGATTTTATTTATTTAAATATCTTTTATTTTTTTTAACATGCTGTTACATATCTTTTCCCCCCTGGGAATGTTGGCAATCCTCACGTTTTGTGTCCCGTGTCATTTTTCTTTATTTGGCCCTTCCTACCTCTTCTCCTTCTCCTGAATTTCTTCTCTTCTCCTTCTCCACTGTGCCCTGACCCTCACTTATCCAGCTTCTTGTTTCCATGATTTTCTTCAGTAAGTTTTGGAAACTCATTTAGAACATTCTTCTCTAAGCACTGTGGACACTTAGCAACATTGGGCACATATATTCACAGGGCTCTGTTGGTAATGAACAGTCCCACAGTAAAGGACTCAGAGTGGGTAGCATGCCTCTAACCTGCCCATGGGTATAGCCCCCCAGATCTTCTTTACCGTCATGCCCACTGGATTCAGAAAAAATAGCAGTCATCTCACAAAAACCGAGATGGTGACAGAACCCCTGTCGTCTCCTCTCCTCCACTACTGCCAGGTGAAATAACAAATGCCCAATCAGAGCCATTTAAACAAAAGAAGTTAGGTATGAGCACTTTGGATACTAGTATAATAGGAGAAGAGGCAGAATGGTCAAGACACTTTTGCCTGGAGAGATCCTCTCTTAGTTCTACTCTCCATATCCAAGTCATCTCTTTTTTGAGAGTCTAATAGAACTGTTCCTGAGAACATTCTGTGACGATGGAAATGTTCTGGGCGCCTGGGTGGCTCAGTGGTTAAGCGTCCACCTTCATGCCCAGGACATGATCCTGGAGTCCTGAGATCGAGTTGCACATCGGGCTCCCTGCATGGAACCAGCTTCTCCCTCGGTCTCTGCCAATCTCTCTCTCTCTCTCTCTCACTCTGTGTCTCTCATGAATAAATAAGTAAAATAAAATTTTAAAAAAAAAGGAAATGTTCTAGCCTGTGTTAGCCAATATGGTAGTCATTTGCCACATGTAGGTATTAAGCACTTGAAATGTGGATAGTATAGCTGAGAGCTCAATTTTAATTTAATATCATTGAATTTAATTTATTTGAAAGTTTAAATGACCCTTTCTGGATCATAGCCTTTGTTTGGGCAAAAAAGCTCTAGTTTGTTATCACATCCTCCACATTTCCTTTGGAGAACTGATAATATTTTTAAAGAGTTTATTAAGATTTCATTAAGATTTTAAATAATCTCCACACCTGGTGTGGGGCTCAAACTCACGACCCAGCATCAAAAGCCATATGCTCCATTGATTGTCAGACACCCCTTGTGAAATGATTTCTAATATTTTTCTTATTTTTGACACTCAAGGGCCCAAACTGCCATGAAATGGATAGCCCAGAAATTGCCACTGACAGAAGGATCAGGTAATTGTCTAATATAGAGATGAAGCCAGGCACGTGTGTATTGGGCTGATAGAAGTGTCCTGTGGATTTACATGGAGAAGACAATTTGAAGTCCTTTGTGGTGATGACAATCAAAAGTAATTTTTCTTATCTGTAACACCATCCTCGCTACAACTTAAATGGGAATATGAAGTAGCTGTAACCTTGGATACTGTATCTGGAATAGACTCCGTATTCCAAACACTCGATTATGGACATTAAACACATTGTCTTCTTATTCTCCATGGAAACTCTATGAGTGGATCATAGAGCCTCTATTTCAAAGACAAAGAAAGGAACCCAAGGGGTGAGAAATCTCCAGTCACTAGGTGAGGTGTGGCAGCATTGGATTGTGTTTGGGTTCATTTAAAAGGGCCTGCTATCTTTTACCCTAATCCATGCTAAGACTTCAAAAACTGAACAATGTATGATCTTTTGTGACATTTATACTCTGAATGGCTTTGGGCTAGGAAACATTCCTATTGTAAGCGTGTACTAGGGCTGGCCTAGCAAAATAGCCAGTCTAAGGGACTTAAACAACAGAAGGTAATTTTCTCATAGTTCTGGAGCCTAGAAGTCACAGCTCACCTGCTGACACATTCAGTCTCTGGTGAAGGTTGTCTTCCTGGCTTGTAAGTGGCCACCTTCTCTTGGGGTTCACATGGCCTTTCCTCTATGTATCAAGAAAGAGAGTGAGATAGAAAGATTGGTCTCTCTTCCTCTTCATGTAAAGGACACCAGGACACCTGTCCTATTGGATTAAGAGTTCTTTCTTATTACATCTGTTCACCATTAGAACTCTTTTATAGACTCCATTTTCAAAATCAGCACCTAGACCAGCCCAAAATTTATCACCATTGGTTGGAAAACTTTACCCAACATGACTGTCCTACATCCTGTCAATACTTGCTCCACCTCTCTGTGCTCATTGATGGAAACTTTCCCACAATATGTCGAAGCCATGTGAGGTTCAGGAAAACCAGGGCACTGAATTGGCTGTATCTTGATGCTCAGTCCAGCTCCTGAGGAACCAGGGACATGGTGACAGGGTAACCTCATCTGTACTCACATTAGTAGCTGACGTTGGGAACGTCAGCTTTGGTTTTCTAGAGGAACCAAAATTCAGAGCAGTTCTATAAGGTCAGGTAGCATTAGTCTCTCCATCTTACACAGGAGGAAAAAAACTCAGAGTTTAGGTGACTGTTTGAGACTTTTCATTGTTCCTGTACAAAATCCCAACTCTCTGTGAATAGAGATTCCATCCTTTATAATTCTTGATAAACTGTAAACCAATTTTGTCAGAGCATAGTATATCAGAGACTTCTATTGTCCAAGATACAGATATTTGTTCTACGCCAATCATCTTCTCCCAGAGCGTGGGAGGTGCGAATGGAATCCAGCAGCGCATGTGTAGAGGGTCTCCAAGCAGTGCTGGGAAGCCTTCCCAGTTGGTGGTAGAACCGCTCAGGGAACCAGGGGATAGTCTGGGGTGCCTCCAGTTGGATGGTGGTGAACACTACAGTCAACCGGTGTGCTTTTGTGTCTTCAGCTTTTAGGGACTTGCCTTCCTTCACCAGCATCAGATATCAGCTGCTCCTTGGGTCCATGTAGAAATTTAGCTGCTGTGGTGCCTGGCTGAGGCAAATATCGCCCCCAACCAAAGCTGTCCATCTGGGCTTCCTTCTTAAATGTGGGAGTGCAGTTTCGGTAACAACAAAGAACATTCTCATGCCTTCCACTTCTGGATTCAAAGATCAAAGTGCCCTGTTCTTGCCACACTTCCTTCTCTCTGACATCTAGATTGCGAACAGGACATGTGCCATTGAACCTCCAGGGCTCCTTCAGATCAGGCCTTTTCTAAGAGTCTGCATTTGACACATGCAATGTTTCTTTTTCAGAAGATACTAGCTTAGGAGTGGAGACAGTAGTGCCCATCCAGGCTGCTCAACTGTCTGCTGGGGTTGAACCAGTATGTAAAAGTTATCAGTTCCTGGGGCCTGAAGGAAATGTGGATATTGAGTTGATTGATAAGTCTGCAAACAGATACAGGTAAGAATGGGAGACGCTAATTGTTTCAAAGAATTCTACTCTAAAGGAAGTAAATGCTGTGTGATATTTACTCGTATACACCTACATGATAGGAAACATGATCCATCCCTCAAGACATCTGAAATTTTGTCAGTGTTCTCTGTATTCTATGCAGTGAGTTGGTATTTTAATTTCAACATATGTAGAATACAGAGAAACTGGGGCCCAGAAAACCTAATGAAGTCCCCAGAGGTTCCTACAGTTGTGAAAATCACAGATGGGTCTTGAACCTGGCTCCACCCAAACACCACATCTCTCTGCACTTGTGTTCTTTCAATCAAAGTTCTGGGGTTAACCAGCATGACTATCACTCTGGCTCTTTTCAGCGCCCACTTTCCTGTGGCTGGCTTCTATCTGTGGCCAGCGGTAGGCCTTGGCTTCTTGGTGACAGCAGCAGTGACTGTGAAGATTGCTTTTGATTCTTGGAATCAACGCCTGGGCCTGGTGTTACAGCACCAGGAGCAGTGGATGGCGGCAGGGCCTTTGTTTGAGATCTCTGTGGAGCCTGAGGGGGTCATTGCTGAAATCCACCTCCCCCACATCATCTCCCTCCCAGGTAAAGAGGGACGAGGGGAGGCAGTGGGCCAGTGGGAACGTTATCTGATGGGCTTTGTGATTGTCCTACAGCAAATGAGGTCGATGTCTCTTGGTTCCAAGTCGCCCATTTTAAGGATGAAGGAATGGTCCTAGAACCGCCAAGCCGAGTGGAGCCTTTCTATGCCGTGTTGGAAAACCCCAGCTTCTCTCTGATGGGGATCCTGCTGAGATTCGCCAGTGGGACAGGTGTTTCTGTCCCCATCACGTCCTTGACATTGATCTATTATCACTTCCACCCTGAAGATATTAAATTTCACTTGTACCTCATCCCCAGTGACCCCTTGTTAACGAAGGTAAGGCTGGAGATGTGAGAATTACGTGGCAGTTTCTCACCTTGGACCTTCCAACTCTGTATTAAACAGAAAAGTGAAGGCACAGCTTTCACTGATAGAAGCATGAATCACCCTCCCTGAGGTCATCCTGTAGGTGCTGCCTCTTGAGCCATGTGCAAGGATCTGCAATAGGAATTCTGTTCTTCTGAAAATGGAGCTGCCTTCTCTGGGTTTTACAGAGAAGGAAAATACGAGATGAGACTTATGGGGACTGGCAGAGAGTAATGCAGAGATTTCACTGTAGAATTTCAAAGTAATAGGATCTAATTTAAATACCCTCCCCAAACATACACGATACATGCACACCCCTCTGAAGTCCTTTCCCTGTGCAGTAGTATCTCCCTCCAGCACATTTGTGATAGGCTCAGAGTCCCCCAACCATTCCTGGGTTAGTGCTGAAGCAGATACACCGGTCTTTGTCGCTGGAGAGCTACTGCTTTCCCACATAAAGTATCACTTCTGTCCCTGCACCTTTGATCGAGAGGTTCCAGGGGAAGGTTCATTTGATTCTCTAACAATTGGTTTATCCTCCTTCAGCCCCAAGAGAGACAGATGCTTGCCTGGTGGTCATTAGGGTTGTGAGTAACTGTGGGTATTTAAAATACAAGAGAAAATATTTTAATCTGGATGCTAGAGATGACCATTCCTGGGCTATGCAGGAAAGGAAAACTAGAAAAACCAAAACAAAGTCTTAAATGACTCTTTTTTCTATTTTGGACACACCCTAGTTCCCAGGCTGGCCATTTTCCTCCCTTGCCCCCAAATCTCATAGGATCACTTGCTCTACTTTATTGTTGAGTAGAAACAATGAGATGGAATGACCTCATTTTCCTATCATCACTTTGTAGATGTAATTCTGTACTGGCTTCACTACCCCCAGCCCTGTCGTGGGCAGTGGGCAGAGATTAGCCTGCCCACTACTTCTTAGAGGCTAGGGTCTGAGACTCTCCTGGATCCCATTCCCTCTGGCCTTCCTGGGAAGATGCTTCACCAGGAAGGATCTGCCGTCAGTCACCTCCTCCATCAGTGTCTCCTACCCTGGCGTCCCATTCCATGAGCAACCCCAGATTGACCATAGCTACCATATTAGAGAAATGTTTTCCTTCACCTCTGAATGTCCATTTCTCTCTTCTGCTACTTGGCAAATGGGTCATCAGCTTTATGGGCCCCCCGGTCTGGACATTCCTCAGTGCTCACTCTGCCCTCAGATGCTTCTTGCTGGGTTACTGTATCTCTATTCCCTCAGATGATTCTGTTCAAAGTCTCCATTGGATGATTCTTCCCTGAAGTCTGGTAGCATGTGTGATGTTGGCCTCACCCATCCTTGGAAAGAGTCCTGTCTAGAAGTCCTTCATACCCTATTTCCCCAATCTCCATATTAACTGTTATGGTCCCTCTTCCATGGCTTCCACAAGACAGTTGCTCTGAAACCTCTCACCTCCTGGACTCACTGATGGTCTTAGTGACTCTTCTGGATCCTGTCACCAAATTCCATGGAAGAGGAAGATTCCTAAATCTGTATCGCTGTCCTGGACCCTCCAGAGCTTTGGGAACTGCCTGACTTAATGTGTCCACTTGAGTGTCCAGGAGAATACCTAGCCTCGTGTATTACTTCCTTTCTTCCCCAAAACTGCCCTGCTCTTTCAACTCTCTTCCCATAGGGGATATCCAACCAAGTTCCACTAAGTCACTCAAACCCACATCTAGAGTTTATCTTCAATCCCTGTGTTTCATTTTCTTTCCTCCTCCAGTGTATCCTCCATATCAATGACTTCTACAAAAGAAAAAAAATCAATGGGTTTTACTGTCGTAATATTGCATGAAATTTTATTGGAGCTTGCAATCTGTAGAGCAAGAGACAATAAGTGTGGAGGTGCGTGAGTTCAGCTCTCTGCTTTCAGGAGTCACTTTCATAATGTCACTGGAGCCAGTTTCCTTTCCTTATCACCACCAGCAGTGGTGGCCCCCTCCTTCACGGACTTCTGCTGGAAATAGGACTCAGGCCTTCAGACTTAACTCACTGATTCCGTTTTTGTCTATCTGACTTTTTATCTGCCAACAGAGAGATCTCGTACAAACATAAATATCCCAACACTTCTTGGCCAAGACTCTTCTCCAAATCCTTATTACACTTTGAACATAAACCAAGTCATCTCTCTGCCCGTAGTGTCATCTGGCCCAAGCTATAATCATTGTGTCTATTTATTTCTTTCCATTGGTCTCATGAATCTCTTTATTTACTTATTGTCTGTTTCTTTGTAAATTATAAATAACCTCTCAATCACAGGTTAGTTAAAAGCACAATGTAAGGCCTACTATAGACATTCATGAAATGTTGACAGAAGGAATGAAATGTGGTCTGTCTTCCTCTATACAGAGGGAAAAAAAAAGATGGCAAACCTTTTCTTCATTTGAAAACACAAGACAACCTCAAAATGCCACTTTTGCCCTGAGAATGTTCCCTGTTTACATCAGGAGCAGCACAATCCTATGTATTAGCCACTGGCCATGCTTGGCTGTTGAGTGCACAAAACAGAGAAAAGCAGGACAACCAAAGAGTATTCGGAAGATGGAAATGTTTGTGCTACAAGAAAAATATATGTGCCTATGACAAGTGCTATTAAAAAAAAAAAAGGCAGGTAAAGGGAATGACCTTCAATCCATAAAACAAGCTAAGTACAGGAGTATGTCCCACTATCTCCAGAAATCTGCTCTTAATAATAACCGTCAATTTTTTAAAAAGATTTTATTTATTTATTCATGAGAGACACAAGGAGAAAGACAGAGACACAGGCAGAGCGAGAAGAAGGCCCCTTCCAGGGACCCTGACGTGGGACTCAATCCGGAGTCTCCAGGACTACACCCCGGATTGAAGGCAGCGCTAAACCGCTGAGCCACCCAGGCTGCCCATAACAGTCACTTAAAAAAAAAAAGGATTTATTTATTTATTTATTTATTTATTTATTTATGAGAGGCACACACAGAGAGAGGCAGAGAAATAGGCAGAGGGAGAAAGAAGCAGGTTCCTCACAGGGAGCCCAATGTAAGACCCGATCCCGGATCCCAGGATCGTGCCCTGAGCTGAAGGCAGAAGCTCAGCTGCTGGGCCAACAAGGAGTAACCCCCAACGGGTGTTTTTTTTTTTTTTTAAGATTTAGCTATTTATTCAAGAGAAACACACACACACACACACACACATACACTCAGAGGTAGAGACATAGGATAACCCGTCAATGTTATAGTGATGTATTTGGTCATTTTAGTTCCAATCTCTTATTACCATAATTTCTTTTAAATGTGTCTACTCATTTAAAATACTTTTTAAAAAGATTTCTAGAAAGTAACCTCTACCCTAACCTGGGGCTCGATTTCAACACTCTGAGATGGAGTGACATGCTCTACTGACTGAGCCAGCCAGGCACCCCTAAAATAATTCATCAGAGATGGCATGGCACATTGCTGTCTTTCCCCCTTCCTTTTCTTTTATCCCTGTGGAGCTGTTACTCTTTAGTAGTATGTCTGTAGTGACTCCTTGAGAGCCCTTTGCCTCCCTCCCCTGCCTCTGCCCCACCGGAGTTTCATTCCCTTCCTGATACAATTTGAAAATTTTCTTCCACTTGATCTTCCAGGTCCAATTCATGTATCAGCATTGGACATCCTTCCCTTCAAACGGATATACGGATTTCTTTTAACATGAATCAAATAGGTAGATAAATGTATTGGTCCCTAATTTTCACAGTACACACACCTTGTATACAGCACACAGATCGAGAAGTGGAACATCACCAGCTTCTCCTTCCCCTTCCTGCCTCCTTCTCATCACTACCCACCAAGAGCATTTACTAACTGGACACTTACACTGTAATTGATTTTGATAGTGATTCTTGCTCGTTAATTCCGTAAAGTCTCTATTGAGCTGTCGCTGAGACTCTCAAATGCTGTTATTATTTTGTTGTTTCAGTTCTATTCTGTGTCTTTGGAGGTTCGTCAAATAGTTCCAAAGGCTCCTCTGCTCTGTTTCTGGGCCTCTCTGGTGATGTCACAGCTGTATTGGTGCACAGGTAGTAGAGCATTTCATGGGGCAGCAGCCTTCTGATGCAGGAAAGTCGTCTATACCCTCATCCCTCATAGATCCAGCTGCAGACTGGGTGGTGCCCTGCCAGGGCAAACAGAAAGAATTGTCTTTGTCTGCAGCTTTGAGGAGCACTCAGACAAATCCTGCCGCATTATAGGAAGAATGATCAATCTATACAGAGATTTGTGATGAAAAGAATTGTCTTGGGAGGAGGCACCTGGACGGCTCAGTTGTTTAAGCTTATGACTTTTCATTTTGGCTTAGGTCATGATCTCAAGGTCACGAGATGGAGCCACCAAGTCAGGCTCTGCTGAATGTAGAGACTGCTTAAGATTCTCTCTCCATTTAACACTCCCTCCCCCTGAAAATAGAAATAAATCCCTTGGCTCTGAGATAACCACCAGTAAAATTTTATTAATACATCCCTCCATGGGGCACCTGTATGACTTAGTCAGAGGAGCTTGCAACTTTGAGTCTCAGGATTATGAGTTTGAACCACCCATTGGGTGTAGAGATTTCTTAAAAATAAAATCATAAGAGAACTATATCTCCTCATGCACAGAGGCATAAATCTTTACATCATTTGAATCATATCATACATGCTACTTAATACCACATATGGAGGACTTTGTGTGCCACTACCTTTGCTTTATTACTTTTAGCTTTGTCCTCTGATTTGCTTCTGCTTCTTCCTCAGGCAATAGATGATGAAGAAGCTAAGTTTCATGGTGTGCGTCTGCAGACCTCACCCCCAGTGGACCCCCTGAATTTTGGTTCCCGTTATATCGTGTCCAGTAATGCTCATCTGGAGATAATACCTGAGGTTGGTAGAATTGAATCTAACTCAGATTTACCTCAGGCTTCAAAATGTTATGTTCTTCGGAAAACAATGGAAGACTAATGCAGGGTCAGTAGCTCCGGTGATTATTCTCTGAACCACACCCTGATAAAAGCTTGGCTACCTTTCCTTTCAGGGATAATACTATTTCTGAAAATTGTAACCTTAAAAGCTGTTGACCATCCTCCCTCTTTTCACCCTCAACCAGCTATGAGGCTGTGTAGGAAACGATCATAATTCAGTGGCCAGTTCACTGTTGGCAAACAGGCCTTTCCACCACCCGCCCCCCACCCCCACCCCCTGATGCTGTAATTCAAGTGGTGTGTTTCCTCTAGGAGTTGAAATTATCCTACAGGAGTCCTGGAGAAATCCAGATATTCTCCAAAGTCTATGCTGGGAAGATGAAGGAACCAATCATATTTGAAATTACTGAAAAAAGACACAAGACTTTGGTCTGGCACACTTTGGTGAAGCCAGGTAGGTGAGAATATGAGCCTAAAATTTGGGGGGAGGAAAAAAATCATGCCTCTCTCTCCCCTTGGTTGTAGTGAAGTGTGTCAGAGAAGAAGGTCTATGTATGGTCCCAACTACAGTTTATAGTCAGTGTTGCATTGAAAAAAGTTTTGGCAGTGGTCTTGTGTGCCTGGGATAGAGGTGGCTGTTGGAGTTGAAAATTGGAACCTCTCCTACCTAGGAGATGTTGCACAGGAGATGCTAATCATAAGAATCAGAAGGTGCATAAAGTTGGTTTAATCCTATCTTTTGGGCAATTTTATACTTGTTGGCATAAATGGAGACTATGCAGCTGCTGAAAGAGGGAGGACACAAAATTTCTCAGAACTTTAACAACAGCAGGACTTTCAGAAAGAAAGCGTAAGACCATGTTGAAGGCTTAATGATAAACACAATTTAGTTATTTTCCCAAATAGTTGCTCCAGTCAGCAAATGTCCCACCGACTTACAAGTGTGTTCAACTTACAAGTTCTGAACTATCAACAATTTCAGTGTTCTAGAGTTTAAACAATATCGACACTTATTGATCAAATGTACTCACTCTATGATGGCATTTCATTTCAAAAATACATTTACCTAGAGGATAATGACGAACAGTATGATCATTTTTACCGTACCTTTCGCATTTCCTCACATTGACTTCTAAATAGAAATAGAAACAGAAATAGAAAGGAAAAATGAGTTCCCTCCCTGAATGCATTTCCTTAATAAGCAGCGAGTGATCTTCTACTTAATTGGGTGCCATTGGTATATGATGTTTCAATGGAATCTTCAAGTTAGGAAGTGGAGTTAAATTACTTTAGTGGATTACATCAAAGACCAGAGAAACTACAGGGTTGCCTGAATGGCTCAGTCAGAAGAACGTGTGACTCTTGATCTCGGGGTTGTGAGTTTGAGCCCCATGTTGGCTGTAGAGATTACTAAATGAATAAAACAAGAACAAACCACTTACAAAAAAGAAAAAAACACCTAGATGAAGGTATATGGTTCATTTCATTCTCCAACTTCTCCTCCTTTCCTAGTGGATCTCCAGTTTCATTCTGCAGCAGCCCCTCCTCCTCTCTCAGGTGAGTGCAATGCTTCCACCAAAAGTCAAAAGGATGTGTCTGATTTCAGGAGGTGTTTGAGTGGTGTGATGTGGCTCAATGAGAGATCATACCTTCTCTTCATTTACAAAGACCCAGTGGTGTCCTAGACAAAGAAGGAGCCTGAGCCACTTCAGGAACAAACTCATGAGGGGGTGTAATATGCAGACTCTGAGCATGCAACCAGTCTTATTGGGGAACACACATTGCATCTGATGAACTATAGGTGAAAGTAGTTTGATATGGCTGGACATGAAACTTTAGAGGGAGGGAGGCCCCATGAGACCAGAGAGGCAGGCAAGAAACAGATGTTGAAAGCATAAGGATGATGGTTGAAATCTTTTGGACATTAAGCTGAAGGCCAACGGGGGACTTTTGCAGGGTAGGTAGCAATGCATTCACTTTTCTCAAGAGTGTGGATGAATGTTGGCAATAAACGGACAGGAAGTGGGAACCGGGTTATGAGGCTGCTGTAAAAATCAAGAACAGGGATTAGCTGAGCATTGGTTAAGGTTCCTGGAGTTGGTAGGTAGCAGCGAAAGAAATGATTCAAAGTAAGGAGTCAAGGGGCACCTGGCTGCTGGCTCTGTTGGAAGAACTTGTGATTCCTGATCTTGAGGTTGTGAGTTCAAGCCCATGCTCGGAGTAGAGATTACTAAAAAAGTAAAATAATAAAGCCTTTTTAACATAAGTAAATAAAATAAGGAATAAAGATCAAGGGACTCCCTTCTGCCTTCCATGTTGTTGGCTTTGACTGTCAGGCTCCACGTAGTAAAAGTGACAGTCCTCCTATCTCAAAACAGATCATCCAGGAGGAGAAAGATAGCATCTCCTGATGCCCCTCAGTGAAGAGAAGACTCCTCCTCAGGTGTCACATTGGCTTGAAATGGCAATAGACCCATTTCCTGGCCAGCTAGTGGTGGTGTCAGGAGGTCCAGAGAGGCAGACTAGCTAAAGAAAATCAGGCCCCACACCTGGAGTCGCAGTTGGGTTCCAACCCAACCACAGATCTTGGTTAAGCATGAGCTAAGGATGATTTCACAAAGAAAATGAAAAGGATTTATGCAGGTTGTGAGTGTATGGCACCAGCAAAAGGTCTCTACCCTTCCTATTATGCAAGCTCTTGAGCAAGAGATATCTGTCACCCGGTGTCACAAGATAAAGCTGAGCCTGGTTTTCTCTCTCTAGAAGACCCTTCAGAAGCTGCTGCCAGCCCACACCTTTGCCAGCCAAATCTCCATTCTGGCCACCATGCACTGTGAAGCATGACGTCTCTTTTCCTCTTTTCCTTTTTGGCCTGGTGGCATCTTGTATTTCATACAAGATCCTACTCCTTCTGATCTTCTTTTGATACTAACTCTTCTGTGAAGAATTTGCTTTAAAGTCTAGTCTGGGATCCCTGGGAGGCTCTGTGGTTTGGCGCCTGCCTTTGGCCCAGGGTGTGATCCTGGAGACCCGGGATCGAATCCCACGTCAGGCTCCCGGTGCATGGAGCCTGCTTCTCCCTCTGCCTTTGTCTCTGCCTCTCTCTCTCTCTCTCTCTCTCTCTCTCTCTCTCTCTCTCTCTGTGACTATCATTAAAAAAAATAGTCTAGTCATCCAATCCTTTCTGACCCAAAGGCTTTGGTTGCATTTTTCCCTCATGAAATCAGGGTAATTAAAAGGATCATGATGGCAAATGCAACTTTGACTGCCTGTAGCATGCCAAATATTCAGGTATTTTATTTGTGCTTTATATACCCCATTTCTGTCTATCCCTGTGAATAATCTTTGACTTGCTCCCCCACAGAATCATGGAGGAGGTATGGAGCTAACATGGCAATGGCTGTTACTTCACACACCTCGCACTCATGGGGTTTCTATTCCAGCAGGTGGAAACAACAAAGCTGATTTCACTGTGCTTATCAAAATAACAGTGGTGGATGTGTTCCAAAGGAATTTTAGGGGGATTTAGGAAAGAATAATACACAGGCTCAGATCAAACATTGAGTGAGTTAAAATGTTTCAGAGTGCATCCTAGAGAGGGGAAAAAAGGTGAAGTTTATGTCCAGTTAAGAAGATTGAATATAAGTGGTTAAACAAATGGGTAAGATGACCACAACCAATGCAGTGAGACTAGGTTAAGATGAGAATCTTTCTGAAAACAGAAAACTCTATTCCAATTGAGGAGTCATCGAACGTACAGTTCCAATGACTTTTCAATATAAGCACCAAGACATCAGAGAAATCAGATCATTAAATTAAACTGTTTGGTTATAGGAGCAGATGACTGGACATTAACGATCTGTGCCATTGTGTTAAGAACGAAAGTTCTAATTGTATAAGGTATAAGTAGGAAGCATTCATACTTTTAGCTTCTTAAGTGGCTTAGTAGGTTAAGCATCCAACTCTTGATTTTGGCTCAGGTCATGATCTCAGGGTCATGAGACTGGGCACTGAGTTGGGTTCTAACCATGGCATGGAGCCTGCTTAAGGTTCTCTTTCTCCCTCTGCCCTCCTCCCCCTGCTGGAGCTCTCTCTCTCTCTCTCAAAAAAAAAAAAAGGCTAAAGCAGTCATGGTTGTAGTGAATGAACTGAGAAACAAGAAAGTGATGTGATTTGGCCAAGGTCACACAGGTATTATATACGGAAACCAGCATGAACCCTGAGTCAGCATGATGCAAAATACCTTCTTCTCTCCAGTGATCCTGGTTCCTTCTGTGTTGCATTTAGCCACTTATATCTCTTTCTATACACTTTTTAAGAAGACCCCCCCCTGAGGGTGCGGAGCTAGTCTAGACCACCTGCACCTCCGGTATCATGCATATCTATGTATGAACTTGAAGATTGTTAGAAGATGAATAGCAGCAAAATAGAGCCTCTCTAGGATTCCAGTGAAAACTGGAAAGTGATGAAGGAGAGGTGCTCCAAGCTGGGAGGGAGGGGATGGGGTTGGATTGAAGTAGAGAAATCATTGAGTTTCCCTAAATTCATAGTCCCCTGAAAATGACTGGGAATCCTGAAGATGTGCATTTAAGCTCTGTCTGGGCAACATGCAAAAGAGAATGAACATTATCTCCACAGAGAATTATGTCTCTAAGGGCCATCTGAGTGGCCCAGTCAGTTAAGCATCTGGCTCCTGATCTCAGTTCTGGGTTTGATCTCAGGGTCATGTGTTCAAGCCCTGAGTTAGGCTTCACACTGGGCATGGAGCTTTCTTCAGAAAAAAAAAAAAAGGAACTATGTCTTTAAGCTGGGCATAGGTCATGAACTCTATAAGAGTGCTATCCCTTCCTGAGTCTGCAAATCTTCCTTCTGCCCAGGTAAGGCCTTTCTGAACGAGCACCGCCGGCAGCTGCAAGCCAGGCTGGGAGACCTGAATGGAGTACTGGATGACCTTCAGGACAGTGAGGTCTTCACCGAGGAAGAGAAGGAGCTGGTGCAGCAGTGCCCTACACAGCAGCGGAGGAATGAGACCCTGCTGAGGATGGTGGAGAAGAAAGGGCACCAGGCCCTGGGGATTCTCTTCCAAAGCCTTCATAGAAGAGATCCTTACCTGATGTCCTACCTCAGCCAGCAGAGTTTACAACAGTGACTCAGGTGGATACTCAGGAAGAGAGAATCCAGTGTTCTCCACTGAAAATGAACAAACAGGGGTGCTTGGGTTGTTCAGTGGATTAAGCATCTGACTCTTGATTTCAGGTCAGGTGTTGATCTCAGGGTCATGATGTTGAGCCCTGCACTGGGCTCAGTGCACAGCTTGGAGTCTGCTTACGATCCTCTCCCTCTTCCCCTCCTACCATTCAGTCTGCCCCCTTCAAATAAAGAAATTGAATAAATCTGTTTTTTTAAAGGAAGGAAAAAGAAGGAAATGCATAAATGAACATGTGATCATTGAGTTCAGTGTCCAAGACAAAAGAGTTCCAAGTAACACCTACTCAACCAACACACAGGTTTTATTGAGGACTGATCTGTAACTTGGCAAATACCTATTACTGTATCCAAAATGTTTAAAATTTTCTTTTTTTAAATTTAAATCTAATTAATTATATGTAATGTATATTGGTTTCAGAAATAGAGTTCAGTGATTCATGTCTTTTTTTTAATTATTACTATTTTAAAAAATTTATTTGATAGTCACAGAGAGAGAGAGAGAGGCAGAGACACAGGCAGAGGGAGAAGCAGGCTCCATGCACCGGGAGTCCGACGTGGGATTCGATCCCGGGTCTCCAGGATCGCACCCTGGGCCAAAGGCAGGCGCCAAACCACTGCGCCACCCAGGGATCCCTCATCAGTCTTATATAATACCCAGTGCTCATTACATACCACTTCCTTAATGTCCATCACCCAGTTACCCCATCTGTCCACTCGTTTCCCTCCTGCAATGCTGTTTGCTTCCTATATTTAAGAGTCTCTTATGATTTGTCTCCCTCTCTAATTTCGTCTTGTTTCATTTTTTCCTCTCTTCCCCTATGATTCTGTTTTGTTTCTTAAATTCCACATGAGTTAGACCATACAATTGTCTTTCTCTGATTGAGTTATTTCACTTAGCATAATATCCTCTAATTCTACCCACATCATTGCATATAGCAAGATTTCATTTTTTGATGGCTGAGTAGTATTCCTTTGTGTACACAACTTCTTCATCCATTTATCTTTTAATGTACATGTGGGCTCTTTCCATAGTTTGGCTATTGTAGATGTTGCTGCTATAAACATTGGGATGCAGGTTCCCCTTTGGATCACCACATTTGTATCTTTGGGGCAAATACCTGGTAGTTCAATTGCTGGGTCATAAGGAAGCTGTATTTTCAGCTTTTTGAGGAAACTTCCTACTGTTTTCCAAAGTAGCTGTACCATTTTGCATTCCCACCAACAGTGTATGAGGGTTTCCATTTCTCCACATCCTCACCAACATGTGTTGTTTCTTGACTTGTTAAAATTAGCCATTCTGACGTGTGAGGTATTGTGGTTGTGATTTGTATCTCTCTGATGCCAAGTGGTGTTAAGCATTTTGTCATGTGCCTGTTGGCAATTTGTATGTCTTCTGAGAAATGTCTGTTCATGTCTTCTGCCCATTTTCTGACTGGATTATTTGTTCTTTAGGTGTTGATTTTGATATGTTCTTTATAGATTTTGGATACTAGCTCTTATCTGATACATTATTTGCCAATATCTTCTCTCATTCTGTAGGTTGTTTTTTGGTTTTGTTGAGTCTTTCCTTTGTTGTACCAAAGCTTTTTATCCTTATCAAGTCCCAATAGTTCATTTTTCCTTTTGTTTTTCTTAACTTTGGAGATGTATCTAGCAAGGCATTGCTGCAGCCAAGGTTACAGAGGTTGCTGCCCATGTTCTTCTCTAGGAAGTTTTTTTTTACATTTTAAAATTTAAATTCAATTTGCCAGCATATAGTATAACACCCAGTGCTTATTCCATCAAGTGCCTTCCTCGGTGCCCATCACCCAATTACCCCACCCCCCCCTCTAGGATTTTGATGGATTCCTGTCTCACATTTCATCCATTTTGAGTCTATCTTTGTGTATTGTGTGAGGAAATGGTTCAGTTTCATTTTTCTACATGTAGCTACCCAATTTTCCCAACACCAGTTGTTGAAGAGACTATGTTTTTTCCATTGGATATTCTCTCCTGCTTTGTTGAAGATTAGTTGACCATAGCATTGAGGGTCTATTTCTGGGTTCTCTATTTTGTTCCATTGATCTATGTGTCTGTTTTTGTACCAGTACCATATTGTCTTGATGATCACAGCTTTGTAATAGAGCTTAAAGTCCAGAATTGAGATGCCACCAGTTTGGGTTTTCTTTTTCAACATTCCTTTGGCTAGTCGAGGTCTTTTCTGGTTCCATACAAATTTTAGGATTTTTGTTCCAACTCTGTGAAATAAGTTGATGGTATTTTGAGAGTGATTGCATTGAATGTACATATTTTAAAGACATTTTAACAATATTTGTTCTTCTAATACATTACCATAGAATGTTTTTCCATTTATTTGTATCTTCCTTAATTTTTTCATCAATGTTCTATAGTTTTCTGAGTACAGATCCTTTGCCCCTTTGGTTAGGTTTATTCCTAGGTATCTTATGGTTTTTGGTCCAGTTGTCAATGGGATTGACCCTTAATTTCTCTTTCTTCTGCCTCATTGTTAGTGTATAGAAATGCAACTGATTTCTGTGCATTGATTTTATGTCTTGCCACTCTACTGAATTCCGGTATGAGTTCTAGCAATCTTGAGGTGGAGTCTTTTGGGTTTTCCATATAGAATATCATGTCATCTGCAAAGAGTGAAAGTTTCACTTCTTCTTAGCTGATTTGGATGCCTTTTATTTCTTTTTGTTGTGTGATTCCTGAGGCTAGGACTTCTTGTAGTAATGCTGAATAACAGTAGTGCATGTGGACATCCCTGTTGTGTTCCTGACTTTAGGGGAAAAGCTCTCAGTTTCTCCCCATTGAGAAGGATATTCACTGTGGGCTTTTCATATATGGCTTTTATGCTATTGGGGTATGTTCCCTCTATCCCTACACTGTGAAGAGTTTTAATCAATAAAGGGTGCTGTACTTTGTCAAATGCTTTTTCTGCATCTATTGAGAGGATCATATGATTCTTGTCATTTGTTTTATTAAATGTAGTTTATCACATTAACTGATTTGCAGATGGTTAACCACCCTTGCAGCCCATAAATTCCAAATGATCATTGTGCATAATCCTTTTAATATCCAGTTGGATCCTTAGTATTTTGGTGAGAATTTTTGCATCCATGTTTATCAGGGATTTTGGTCTGTAATTCTCCATTTTGGTGGGATCTTTGTCTGGTTTTGGAACTAAGGTAATGCTGCCTTCATAGAGATTGGAAGTTTTCCTTCCATTTCTATTTCTTGAAAGAGCTTCAGAAGAATAAACATTAATTCTTCTTTAAATGTTTGGTAGAAATCCTCTGGGAAGCCATCTGGCCCGGGATTCTTGTTTATTGAGAGTTTTTTTGTTTGTTTGTTTGTTTGTTTTTTTACTGCTTCAATTTACTTGCTGATTATAGGTCTGTTCAGATTTTCTATTTCTTCCTATTTCAGTTTTGGTATTTTATACATCTTTAAGAATAGATCCATTTTATCCAGATTGCCTAATTTTTGGCATATAGTTGCTCATAATATGTTCTTGTAATCGTTTGTATTTCTCCCATGGTGGTTGTGATCTCTCCTCTTTCATTCATGATTTTATTTATTTGGGTCTTTTTTCTTTTTGATAAGTCTGGCCAGGGGTTTATCAATCTTATTAACTCTTTCAAAGAGTCAGCTCTTAGTTTCATTGATCTGTTCTACTCTTCTTGTGGTTTCTATTTCATTGATTCCTGCTCTAAACTATATTTCTTTTCTCCTGCTCAGTTTAGGCTTTATTTGCTGTTCTTTCTTCAGCTCCTATAGGTGTAAGGTTAGGTTGTGCTTGAGACCTTTCTTGTTTCTTGGTAAAGGCTTGTGTTGCTATATACTTCCCTCTTAGGACCACCTTTGCATCCCAAAGGCTTTGAACTTTCATTTTCATTTATTTCCATGAATTTTTAAAAATTTTCTTTAATTTCCTAGTTGACCCATTCATTTGTTAGTAGGATGCTCTTTAGCCTCTGTGTATTTGAGTTCTTTCCAAATTTCCTCTTGTGATTGAGCTCCAATTTGAAAGCATCGTGGTCTGAAAATAATCAGAGAATGATCCCAGTCTTTTGTACCAGTTGAGATCCAGTATGTGATCTGTGACCCAGTATGTGATTTATTCTGGAGAATGTTCCATGTGCACTTGAGAAGAATGTGCATTCTGCTGCTTTAGGAGGAATGCTCTGAATATATCTGTGAAGCCCATCTGGTCCAATGTGTCATTCAAAGCCCTTGTTTCCTTGTTGATCTGCTTAGATTATCTGTCCAATGCCATGAGTGGGTGTTTAAATCCCCTACTATTATTGTATTACTATCAACGTGTTTCTTTAATTTTGTTATTAATTGGCTTATATAACTGGCTGCTTCCATGTTAGGGACATAAATCTTTACAATTGTGAGATCTTTTTTTTTAGGATTTTATTTATTTATTCATAGAGATGCAGGCAGAGGGAGAAGCAGGCTCCATGCAGGGAGCCCAATGCAAGACTTGATCCCGGGACTCCAGGATCATGCCCTAGGCCGAAGGCAGGCGCTAAACTGCTGGGCCACACAGGGATCCCCCTGATGCTCTAAAAATTTTTTAAAGATTTTATTTTTTGACAGAGAGAGCACAAGCAGGGGGAGCAGCAGGCAGAAGGAGAGGAAAAAGCAGGTTCCCCACCAAGCAGGGAGCCTGACATGGGGTTTGATCTAGGACCCTGAGATCAGGACCAGACCCAAAGGCAGACACTTAACCCACTGAGCTACCTAGGTACCCCTGCTTTCTGTTTCCATGGGATGTGATTTTTGTTTCTTTGCTCATAGGTCAAATTTGTATTGCGTTCACGTGGAACTCATTGCTCTTCATGTTGCGTATGTACACCTTCTTGACTCAGTCTCCCCTAAAAAAGCCCACAGACTTCATTTTCATACACATGACATTAGTCAATGTCTTCATTCACCATCATGTTCAGGTTGATTCCAAATGTCATGTCATCATTTGGAATGACTAATTTCCCAGACGATGTTGAGTGTAAGGCAATGTTGTACACATACAGAGTCTCTCAGGGTCTTCCCATCAGTATGACCTCTCTCCTGAGTGCCTTACAGACCATCACTATCAGTTCCAGTAATTCTAGATGGGTGTGGCTGAAATCTAAAATCTCTACATGCAGGGCACCTGGGTGGCTCAGTGGCTGAGCATTTGCCTTTGGCTAAG